AGAAGCGATTGGGGAACTATCGGGGGCTGTGCCTTTTTTGGACTCAGCAGAGATTATTTTTAGGCTGGCAGATGGAGGTGGTGGTGGCTGTCGCTGGTATTATTAGACAACAGGCCTGTGGTTTGGGAGTCTGGTGCCCAGGGGAGGAGGAGGAGGAGGAGGAAGAGGAGGCTCCAGTAAGGACCTATACTCATGAGCAATAAAGGCTGGTGCTCACTCATGGTTTTCCCTTACTACATCCACCGTCAGACCCAGGCAGAGGCTCCTGAGTCTCAGGCACAGTGAGGCTTAGCCCAGAGCCAGCCAGAGTTAGCCAACTGCCTGCTTAAACAAACGCCCACCCTGTCACCCTTTTCTGGCCAAGGACTGCAGGAGTCTGGCTGTCAGAACCTGTGCGGAGCATGTGGTGAGGAGGAGACAGTGGGTGGGGGCGGGGGGCTGTTTCTTGGGTGCAGTGGGGGAGAGGCCTTGGTCCCTGGCCGGTGGTCTGCAGGATGGTGTGAATGAGTGCAGGTAAAAGAGGAAATGCAGGCTCCCTCACCAGCTGCCTGAGTGACCTGGCTGAGTCAAGCAGCCTCCCAGTTTGCTTATTTGTGAAATGGAGATGGTAATACTTCTGTCAGGTGGGCATCATGGGCATTGCATGAACTCTATGTCACATGCCCAGCACAGAGCCTGGCATATGGTAGGTGTGTAGAGGAAGCTAGCTTTTCTGACAGCTGGAGCTCTGCCTGCACGGACTTCTGTACCTCCTCTAGTATTTAGAGTATCTTCCATTGTCGGCTGCCCTTCCTCCTACAGCCCTGTCTTGGTGGAAGAGCTCCAGGTTGTGTCAGGCATGGGGCCATGCCAGGCCCTGGACGCCTCATGGTTGTGTGCTCACGGGGCATCCAGTGGCAGCCCTGAACTCAGCTCCCTGCTGAGGACCACCTGGCCCAGAGAGCAGGAGATTTGTATCCTGTGGGCTTTCCAAAGGTCAGCCAGACCGCAGGGGCCACCTCATCCTCCTTTGCGCTCCTGCTCTCTTCCCTACTGGGAGAAAACAGCTCCAAAGTGGGCTGGCAGAGCCCCAAGGTGCGGATTTGCTAGGCTCAGGGTATTGCTATGTCCTGCCTTCTCTAAAACGGGTATGTGAAATCCAGGACACCTCACAGCCTCCTACTGTCCTTTTCCCTGCAGATGCCAGCTTCCCTAGGAGGTTGCAGCCTTTTCCCTGTGGGCTGCTTAGGCTTCTGTCATGGGGGAGTGGATCTGGGGGGTCTCTACCCTTCCTACAGCTCTTCTCCACCTCAGATCACATCCATCCTTCTCTTCCCCTCCCCCCTCCACCCCTCCTCCCCTCCCTCTGTCCCTCCCTCCCTCCCTGGAGCAGGCG